ATTTATTTTTCACCATTTTTGAAAGTTATATATTTCATTTTTTATTATTTTTATATTTAACACAACTTATTAAAATGGTTTATTTAAAAAAAATATATATTTGTTTCAATTTCAGTTTTTTTCTTTATATATATATATATACATAACAACCTTTTTATTTTAATGTAATTTTATTAATTCTATGTTATTTTCATATTTAATATATTCTTAAATAAAATATTGCTTATTTGATTGATTTTTTTAAATTTAGTTAATTTTACTTGCAACAGGATTGCAGCAACATTATTGCTAAGTCAGAGCCAATAATGACTTTGTTGATTCCAGTTCTTACACTTTCAATCTCAATCTCTGCAGTTGTTGTCGAGGGATTAAACAAAGCTGGAGGCGGGTGGATCACAGCTTCGGCACATCCACGGTTCAGGTGCAGCTTAGTCCCAACACATCAAGCTTTAGCCGCAGGCGCCGGCTGCATCAAGCAAACAAGACCTTGACTTTCACACTTGTGTTTTGGTCGGTCAGTAGGCCTCTATGCTCTCGCGAAGCCAAGTTATTTAAAAGAATAAAGGTGCAAGAGCAGAAAATCTGAGAACGTCTTGACATGCGCTGAAATACCCTTCAACATCCCTTTTTTATGACAGAGATTTCAATTAGAACAAATGCTATTGCATTTAATTTGAAGGAATGTTAGAACGCCAAAATGTTACTGGTTGGAAAACAGAAAAATAAATTAACCCATTGACGTGGCTTTTGAATGCTGAAATTATTTTCTTGCTGCGAGAAGTTGCATTCCACTGCTTTGAAATACATTTAAACTAATTTCTAAAGCAACAAATCTTTCAAGTCCAGGACGGCAAGAAGAAAAGTACAAAACAACAGAAAAGTTCTAAAACAAAACCTACTGAGCAACGCGTCGTCTCCCTTTATTCATCAGAGAAATGCTGTACATATGGGGTTTTTATGAGATTAAATTAAATGTTTATTTCAAAATTCGACCCGTTTTCCTGTAAAAACAGGCTGTGAAGAATACAGAATAATATAGTGAATAAAATATAACATGTCTTTACCTGTCTGTTTGTGTAAAATTCATTTTGCTGCCTGAGCAGACCTAAATACTTGGCTCATTGTTATTTATGCACTTGACATATTTCAAACCAACACATTATGCAGTATATAGGACTGCATGTATAATTAGTATTATAGTTTGCATAATTCTTTCTGTTATTTTATCCAGTTTATGCCACATTTTAGCTTACTTTCCTAAAAGGAGCAGCTGAGAAACAATTTTTATACATTTTGTGTCAGGAACTGTTTGTTTTTTTGGTACTTTGTTGGTTGTCTTTAGTGTTTTATGTTTAGGTTCATTATTCTTGTGTTTAGTTACATCACTTGCATTTTCATTTGATCTCCCCTTGAGTTTCCTGTGTGTTCCTCATTCAGTCAGTTTTTACTCTCTTGCTGCTTTAGCTCCGCCCACTCTCACCTGTTCCCTATCCTCATCAAGCTCAGGCGTCTTCACTTCCTGATCAGCCCAGGTTATATATTCTGTCTGCATCACACTCATTCCTCAGTCCAGCTTTGTTTGCTTTCATTCCTGGTCCTTTTCATGCCTCTATGCAAAATTCTCCTTGTTTTGTTTGATTAAATAAAGGTTTTTTTTGCTATTTTTTTGGAGCTTGTGCTCATTTTTGTTTCTCATTTTTGGGGCTCTAACCTTCTAAAACTATTTTGTTGCATAGAATGTAAAAGCTGGAGTTAATTTTACTCTTTACTTAGCATTTTATTTTGTCAACTTAGTGCAATAAAGAGGTGCATTAGAACAATTCTATCATGTAATTTCCTGTTTTTTTATTTATTTATGTATCTTATTTGCTAAATGCTTTGGTCGAAATTAAGACTGAAGTCATAAAAATCTCTTCTCTCAGTTTAAGATTCTGTTCTCTTAACTTCCCTGCGCATGTTTTTTAATACAAACAAACAATTGTTTTTAAGTGTTTATCTTGTAAATTTTGAAGAAATGCGCAGCGACTCGTCCCTCTGCGCGTTCGTACTTCCACGAATCAGGTTTTGAAATGCAGCTGATTTTACTGTCAAAGTGCATTTTTTAAGGAAAAGTTAGACTGAGACCCACCTTAAGTATAATTTCAAGCAAACTAATAATTGTTTTAAAGTGTTAATCTTGTTAAAGTCATGTTAAAGTCCTCTCGTGCACGTTCCCACCGCCGCCATTTGGCAGCCAATTGATTTTTGCCACAACACCGACCCAAGTTTCCAGGTTGTCAGCGGTGACGCATAATATTTGTGACGTATGCGGCGAAGCGACATATGTATGGATTTTTCCACTTTATTAGACATATTTGGACTGATGCGACTTATAGGGCGGAGCGACGTGTACAGCAGAAAATACGATAGTTTGTCGGACAAACTATCGTCCTGAAAGGCCTCTGTGCTTTTCTCCATCTGCAGCCAACAAGCCTGAACTGTACCCCTAAAATAAAAGCTGAGATATTTCAACAATGAGTGCCTTTACCTTGATCCTCTTGTCTGATTACATGATATGGTGGCAATTGAGATGTGAGTGAGTTGTGTTCAGTCACCTGCTGCCATGGTCACAGACATTACCGCTGACAGAATGAGAGGAAGCTAAAGACCGTGGAGTCCTTGAGCTGAGTTGAAGCCTATTACCGACCTATAACAACAATAAACAGTTGTGCAGGGTGAGACATCCTCACTTTGTCATTTAGTAGTTTTATTTCTGAGAAGCAGCTGCACAGTTTATCAGAACGTGTGCAGTTTGGTTTGTCTTGTAACCCTTGCAAAAGTGCTAGAGCTGTATTTTGAGACGAATGCTAATTAATAATTAAAAAAAATGACTTCAGCAGACTAAATCTTAAATGTAAGAGTGGGTACAAAACGAGCTGAGGCGGGAATGATGTGGGCAGAGTTGGAGAACAAGAGAATGTGTGACCTAGAGCACAGTTTGGCAATCCATGCACACAAAATTTAGACTCTGCTGCAATACGATAAGATGTGATTTTCAAAAACTGGTTGATTAAAACGCAGACACATGGCTCAGTGGTCAATTGGTAGAAAACACTCAAAGCTTTAGAGACTGTATCAGAAAATTCACATCTTTTCTTGCAAATTTGAGAGTTTTTTTTTTTTTTTTTCACACAGTAGTGTACCAACATGGCTGCTCGGTAAGATACAACCTTAAGTGCTAACGGATCACACAAGATCTTTGTTCACAACTTTAGCACAACTCAAGGTGACGTGCAACGAGTGCTTTGTAAAGGAATGCTAATTTTAATTTAAGAATCTCGAGTGTCTCGATACGGACACTGGTATTATATCAAGCCCAATACCAGCCTCAAAAACTTGTACTTGTATTCATAAAAACACCCTGAGACTTGGATTAATACCATTTTTATGCTTGGTGACATAATTTCCTCGTCCACTTTGCAGTCTACTCCATGCCACCAGGAATTGGCATGGCCAGGGACCCTCCCTCCCTCGGTCGTGGTGAAGAAAGAGTCGAGTCAAATGGCAAAGCTCTTAATTTACTGGTCTGTCTACGTTCCACCCTGCATCTGTGATCATGAGGTTTGGATCAAGACCAAAAGAACGAGATCTCAAATACAAGCAGCTGAAATAAGCTTCCTTCGTAAGGTGGCCAGGCTCAGCCTTAGATGAGGGCAGGAGCTCCCTCATCTGTGGGGAGTTGCACCTTTACACTGAAAGGAGTCAATCGAGGCGGTTCTGGCTTCTGATTAGAATGCCTTCTGGACACCTCCCATTGGAGGTTTTCTGGCTCCGTTCCACTGGTAAAAGGCCTTGGGGAGGACCAGAACTTGCTGGAGGGGTTGTGTATCTTCTCTGGCCTGGGAACGCCTCAGGATCCCCAAGAAGGATCTGGAAAATGTCTCTGGGGAGAAGGTGGTCTGGGTTTCTCTCCTAGACCTGATGCCTCCACAACCTGAGTATGGATAAGCAGTAGAAGATGGAGACTTGGCAACTGAGGACCAAAACAATAAAAAAAAAATCAATAGTTTATAGATATTTTAATAAACTTAGGTGATTTTAAGACAGCAGACTGTTTGCTGTGTTTTAAATAAAATAAACAAACAAAACAGAAGTATGTTTTAAAGTAATTGTGTAATGTTCAAGTATTAATCAATAAATACTCAGCATTGGTACTCAGTATCAACAAGTATCCAAACTGAACTACTTGGTTCTTGTACTCGGTGTGAAAACACAAAATTGAATCGGGCTACCCCTATTTATTTATCAACCCACCTACAGTATATACAGAAATACAGAGGGTTGAAATGTGTAATCGTAGTTATTCAATCCCAGTTACGTTTATAATCACTTGAAATGATCTTGTTTAGTATACTGTAGTCCCACGCTACTTCGCGGTTTATTTTTCGCGGTTTATTTTTCACGGACTCGCTCTATCGCGGTTTTTCAAAAATAAGATTGGACACCTGAGCTGCACGATCGGCATGGAGTTTTTATTTAAAATAAATTATTTGAAATTATTTAGCACCTCCTGCACCTTTGTGCAGCCCTTACTTCAAGATAAACTTCCTGCTGCAGCTGATCAGCTGCTCACAGTGCAGCATGGAGAAGTGGGCGTGGCCAAGAGCACTTGCAGGTGGCAAAGAGCAGAGGAGGCAGAGAGCTGAAATCATGACATGCTGTGCTCTTTTAGAGCTTTAGAGTTTAGAAACATTGTTTAGAATATTGCAAGAGTGTTGGAAGGGTTTAAAACACACACACACACACACATATATATATATATATATATATATATATATATATATATATATATATACTAAAATAAACTACTAACTACTTGTACTACTTTTACGCCGTTTTTCATTTATCACTTGTCTTCAGGGTACGGATCCCCCCCCGATAAACGAGGGACTACTGTATTTTAATATGACTCATGTTTTTATTAAAAAACATTTAACTGTTTTAATTTTTTTCATTTACAGCTACACTCTGCGTGTTGTTCGTAATGGGATCAGAGCTCAAAGTGCCAACCCTGAAGTCAAGGTGAAGGGAGAAGACCCTCTAATAAACCAAGTCATTGACAAACTCAAACACGTCAGTCAGGTGAGACCCTCTCAGTCTTTGTGTTCATTAGGGAGGATTTTTGTCTCCATAAAATCTATATTTCACCGTTTATTTTGTCCAACACATGGTTGCTTTCACCTCAGGCAATCTGCTAATCTGTTGTGATTTTTATTGTTAATTATCAGACCACAGGGAGTCTCTTATTAGTGTCTGATAAAGCTGCAGCTCTTCACTCTTTACCTTTTAATCCTCAGTCAAACAATTCTTTTATATCATAATTTTTATTTCCAGGGAGCCTCGGCTGATTGAAAAACACAAATGCCGAATCTTTTCTGAGCAATAAATGAAAAAAAGAAAATCCATCATTACACATTTAGAAACCCATTTGATCTGGTTTGCGTGCCTTCGTATTTACAAAATTCTTTTTCTGCTCTTTGTCAAAATCAATGTAGCTTTTCCGCTCGCCAATCTGCTTTTGTGCACATTTGTGCTGCCGTGGCTGCTCCCGGTGCTGTTTATCTGTTGGGGTGATGAGATTAAAGCCATTTACCGGAGCACTTTCCTTCCTCTTGCCTCAATAACAGCTGCTTTGGCTGTTGTGCTGCAGAAGAAGCTTCACATGTCTGTTGCTCTGGTTTCCCAAGTGGCGGGCTGAAGGCCAGGTCACCTCTCTTGACCTCACGTTGGCACCCCCCCTTCACTAATTCTCACCATCTGTGAGGTGTCAGAGCACATAAATCTATATCATAAGTGTTTGAGAGGCTCAGTCCTGCCTCGCTGACATTCACCGTGTTTACTGCCTTTTGCCTGTTTGGGTCTTAAACGTGATTCCTGAAGCGTCTTTGTGGGTCTGTGATTTCTTTCTTTTAAAATGTTGTTTACAGAAAAAGATTGTTTTTTATAATCTTGAATTCTCAGGATGGGTTTATCTGATTCGGAAATGGTTTATGTGATTTACTTTTAAGCACGATGAAACAGATTATGATTATGAGCTCAGGACAGATTATATAATAATCTACAATCTGCTGAGACTGAGTACTCCAGCAAGTGTAACTTTTAATCCTATATTTTGCTTTTCTCTTTATATTTTTTGCATGTTCACCCATTTTTAGACTGTAGGAATGATTCACCTTACGGATTAATTTGTTTCACTCTGGTTGGTTGAGTAACCTGTTTCTCACATCATTGCATGTTTAATCAGATCCATTTCTGCCTGCCAGCGAAGGCGATTTTGCCCGAGTCTGTGTTTGTTTGTCAGTAGTGTTAGCAAAATGTGTCATTAATCACTGGACAGATTTTAAAGAAAGTCCCAGAAATTAATCACTAGATGTTCATCTACAACTCCTTATATTTCATGGTCAACAAGATTCAAGATGGCTGCTACAGCTAAGCAACATTAGCAAACACCAAAATAGCTATAACCCAGTCTTTTACAGTTATTAAGATAAAAGTTGTTGAAGTATTAGCTAAGTGTCATCCTCAACACATACTCCAAACACTTAAAGAGATGTAAGGAGGTGGAAAATATGCATTACTGTAAGGATTGCTACCGTAATTTCCTGACTATAGAGCGCACTCGAATATAAGCCTAAACACTAAATTAAAAAAAATTAAAAATAAATTTGTAAATATATAAACCATGCTTGTGTATAAGACACAGGCGTTCACATTGTAACATGAGATATTTACACAGAAAGATTTAAAAAAAAACTTTTAATTAAATACCTACCGGTATCATACACAAATACGTGTGGTAAATGGTTTTTTTTTTTTTCTGAACAATGCCTTTAACAAGAGTAGTTAAAAAAAATACAGTAACCTACCAGGAAAAGTCCCTGATTGCTATGTTCATCTTCCTCCTGTGTACTAAAACCACAAAATTGGTCTTCTTCAGTGTTAGAATTGAACAGCCACAGAAAAACTTCATCACACACGTCCTCAGTCTCTTTCGTTGTTGAAAAATACAGTAGCATACCAGAAAATCATTGATCACTATCTTTATATTCCTCCTGCTGCAAGCTTGTGCTCCTCGCATGCAGGGGAGTCCCCCCTCACATGCTCCTCACATGCAGGGGAGTCCCCCCTCACATGCTCTGAGCATGAGGGGATTCCTTCCTCCCTGTTTCATTGGTTCGACTGTGACCTGTTTGGTAATTTAATTGGTCAGATGTTTTTATTAACCTTTATTTATACAGGTAGTCTCATTGAGTCACCAGGACCCTCCCCCCCAAGAGAGATGTGTATTGGGCAGCTATGTGAGCACCCAGGTGTGATGTTTTGGCCACGTCCATAAATTAACTGCAGCAGTGTAAAAGCCAAAGCCAGGGGAAAAAGTAGCAGCTTATAGACTGGAAAGTACGGTACTTTCTTTATAAAGATTGAATCGCACAGAGCTGCAACTGCTGGCTCCTAGTTGATGAAAGCCATCCTCAAGGAAGTCTCCAGAATGCCTTGAAACATTCACGAGCTCTCGGTTTTCTCATTTGATTCACACAGTCCTTTTAAAAAAAATTTTTTTTTTAACATGTTCAAAAAATCTGTGTCAACATTTTCTCTTAAAATAATTTTAGAATGGTCACAAGTGTCTCCAGCCCGTCTGAAACCCTTCTCCATTTTGGCTCGGGCGTCTCCAACCAGTCTCAAGAATTGTTTTGACACATACACAGATCTCCTCTGTCATTAAACACATCTTCGTCTAAAAAACTTGTCAAATTATAACGAAGTGGTCGGAGGTGGACAATGAAATAATGTTCACAGCCTACAATATAAAATTTGCCAGCCATGGACACAAAAATGATTTACTGGTCACCAACACTCATATTTCAGCGAGACTGAAACAAAACGCATGCTTGCATCTCTATGCCGACGACACTGTTGTTTATTGCTGAGCTAACAAAGTTGTCAAGGTTTTCCGTCTTCTACAGTCTGCATTTGACATCATTCAGTCGGACTTATTCCATCTCAAGATGTTGCTAAATGCTGATAAATCCAAAGGAATGTTGTTTTCCAACAGAAAGTATATGCCAGCAACTCTTCCGCCTATCTCATCCATGCATGGGGTTCCTATTGAGTTTGTAGGTTCTTACAAATACTTGGGAATTTTGGTCGATGCACATCTCTCTTTTAAACCACATATCAAAAACTTAGTAAAGAAACTGAAATTAAAACTGGGTTTATTTTTCAGAAATGGATCTTGCTTAACTCTGAATGCCAGAAAACGCCTTGTAACCGCTACCTTCCTACCGGCCATTGACTATGGTGACATTATTTACAGGAATGCCCTGCCAGCTCCTTGCAGATGTTGGATGTTGTCTGCCATGGTGCGCTAAGATTCATAACTGGTTGTAACTACTGTACTCATCACTGCACCTTGTACTCCTTGGCCATTTGGTCATCATTATCTATATGAAGGCTCTCACACTGGTTCATTTTCATCTATAAATCACTCCTTGGTCTGCTACCTTCGTATATCTCCTCCCACATGTCACGCCATCAGTGCAGTTACAACATGCGCTCTCAGGACATCATTATCTGCAGCGGTCCCTTTAGTGCGGACTGAACTTGGCAAAAAGGCCTTCTCAGCTCCTGCAACCTGGAACACCTTGCAACAGGAACTGAAGTTGTCCACCTTGATTTCTTTAAGGGTTTTCAAACATTTGATAATGGCAATAGAACAGTCAAAGCAAATATATTCTTGTTTTTAGTATTTCACCATGTTTTACGGCACCCAGATTTATTGATTTGTACACTACTCTTATTTTAATTGCATTTTTTACTATGGTTTATTGTTGTCATTGTATACTGTTTTGTTGTCTGTACTTTATTTGTTGCGTTTGGAACAGGTCCCTCTTGTAAATGAGTCCCCGTGGCTCAATGAGGCTAGCCTGTATAAATAAAGGTTGAACGAATGAAAAAAAATGCTTTTTTTTTACCATTCTGAGTCAAATTTGAATTGCCAGCTAGTCTCCCAACAGTCACAGCCCAATGAGCTACTACTTTAAGGACACACATACTTTGTAACTACGACTGTTCGTTTTTGTACAGTTTTTAATTATACTTAATTTAAGAGACAATATATGAAAAAAGTAAGTATTTACTATAATCACAAAGTTTGTTTTCTCAGTCATCCAGGTATATAACAACAAAAAAGGTTGAATCATGTCATCTGGACTTCGTTTTTTTGTTAA